AAAAAAAAGAAGTCATGGCTTCAATTGGCATGCTAAGGACCGCTGGGACTTGGCTGAAGTCAGGGTGCACCGTGGCTGGCGAACCTGGAATCTGATGTCTGGGCTCGTATCTCCGCTTGGCCCCCCTCTTTGCTCCCGAGTGCAGCGCTGTGGGTAGGGCCCGGGCTCTGGAGCGGGCAGCCAGCTGCATGAGCCTCGCACAGGCAAGCGAACCAGCCTGCCCACACCTCTGTTTTCATTCTGTGAAGTGAAACCATTCTGTTGACCTGGTCAGTTGGTCAGGGGTATCCAGCGTCCTGATGGTTTGTAAGTACCTAGTACAGGCGTCTGACATATGAGCAAGTATGAGGGGCTTCAAAAAGTCAATGGAACAATGGAATGAGGAGTGTGGAGTTTTTCAAGGATCTTGTTGACACCCGCCGCCCCTCATCCTTAGGATGGTTCGCCTGATGGGTCCTTCATTCATTCAATGATCGTTCATTGAGCATGGGGTAGGGGTGTGTGTGTGTGTGTTCTAAAATCCCAAAACTCACCACCTTCGAGTTGATGCTAACTCATAGGGACCCTACAGGGTCCCCTTTCTTTCCAAGATGGTTTTGTTTCCAACATTTTTATTGGCATTTTATAATTCACATATCATACAATTCAATAGTTCCGTCACACCGACTTGACAATCATCACTACAGCCAGTTCTAGAACATGTTCTTCATTCTTGGCCTCATCGTCATCAGCTCCCCATTTCCCCCCAACATCTCCTGCCATACCCCCAAGGAATCGTTAATCCAGTGAAGACTAATTCTTTACAGAACTAGAAAGCTCTTTCTCCCGTGGTATGCGATTTAAGGTGGCACTTAAGGTGATGTGTTGGTTATCCCTTGGGCTGCTAACTGCAAGATCAGCAGTTTGAAACCACGGGGTTTTTATCCATGAGAAAAAGATGAGGTGTACTATTCCCATAAAAAGTGACAGTCTCAGAAACTCACAGGGACAGTTCTACCCTGTCCTGTCGGGTTGCTGTGAGTCAGCCTCGACCCGATGGCAGTGCATTTGGTTTGCTGTGGGAAGGGGCCCTGGTGGCCTAATGGGTTACGCATTGGGCTGTCAACTGCCAGGTCAGTGTTTCGAAACCACCAGCCAGTTCCGAGGGAGAAAGACGGGGCTTTCTACTCCCATGAAGAGGCAGTCTCAGAAACCCACAGAGGCAGTTCTGACCTGTCCTATGAGTCAGAATCGATTGAATAGTCGTGAGTGTTTGGGTTTGAGTCTGCAAGGAAGTGGGGGTTAAAGATGTCCCCAACGTCCACCTTTTCCAAGACGCTGCACTGCTCCATGTTCCTGGTGTTCCTTCATGTCCTCGGGTTCCGCATTTCAGCGCAAGGTCTCACGGAACTCCTGAGACTTTGCAGAAAGAAAGGGCTCACGTGGTAGTATTGTTGTTGTCAGGTGTGGTGGAGTCAGAGTGGCCTGATCTGTGTGCAAGAGAAAGAGACATCCGCCCAGTCCTGCACCACCGTGATCACAGTTGTCATCTTTGAGCCCCTTGTGTCAGCGCACGTGGCTGGGTGCGTGACGTCCCAGATCCTTAGCTCAGTCACCCGTCTGGAGGCACCCCCCATCCACCAGGCTTCAGAAGCGGGGTGGTAAACCAGGTCAGGTGATGGATGGACTGCACCTTAAGTCCCCAGAGCCTTAGGTCAGGCAGAGGTGAGCCAAATGCAGGGCCCTGAGCCAGAAGCCACAAATGACCAGTGGTCAATGCAGGTCTTCTACCCATGCTCGGTCAGGAAGCAGAGGCCACAAAGGGGAAGGCTTGTGTCTGTCCTGCAGAGGTCCACAACCCCGAGGAAAGAGAACGGAGGGTGACTTGAGTCCCTCCTTCTCGGTAGGTGGAGAGTCAGGATAGAGCCCACCCTAGGCCTGTAACCGAGAACGCTCCAAAACCGGGATTATGACACAGACATGCTAAACCCCAAACTCAGACCAAACTGCCCGCCGTCAAGTCCTTCCGACTGATCGCGATGGAGAACTGCACCTGTGGGTGTCCGAGACTGCAACTCTGTCCTGAAGCAGAACGCCTCTTCTCTCTCCGACGGAGTGACTGGTGGGTGCAAACTGCAGCCCCACGGGTAACCTCTATGCCACAGGCATAGAAAATAGAATTTACGAAACAGCACAAAAGGGATTATGGCTAGAAGGGCCATGATAAGTAATTGACTACATCTCAGGCTTGGAGCTGCTGACCTAGGTCAGAGGTTCAATCCCACTGGCTGCTCCTGGAGAGAAAGATGAGGCTGTATGCTCTGGTAAAGACTGACAGACTTGGAAACTGCAAATAGGGATGCCGTCAGTCAGCGTGGGACTTGATGGCTGTGGGTTTGGTTTGGGATGATCATGGGGCCACGGGTTGGGATGCTAATCAAAAAGCGGTATTTTCAGCGAAGCAGTCAGTGGGGGAGGAAGACCAGGCTGTAAAGGGTGACAGCCCAAGGTTGGTAGGATCGCCTTGAGTTGGCATCGACCCCCTGGCAATGGAGACTTGGAGAGCAACTCCTCTGTACAGTAAGAGTGACCTAATCGTTGCTTTGTCTTCTTGTTGCAGGCAGTGGCAGCGACCACGGAGGAGCTCCATGTGTCCAGCGCAGACAGAGGCCACGGAGGAGAAGGGCTGGGGCCGGCCCCCCGAGACTCGGCCATGGCTCTGAGCCTGGGCGCCCTGCGGGCCCCGGCCCCCAAGGCCCCAACTCCGGCCCAGAACGGCCACGGGGCCACCGTGGCCGCGGCCACCTGCTCGCCGCCAGAGCCCGCGGCTCCCGGGACGGTGACTCAGAATGGGGTCCTGGGCGGCAGGGACGCCGCCACGGAGCCTCACGAGGCCAAGCTGAGCCCCTCTAAGCTCCTGCGCCTCTTTTCGGGCAGCAGGAAGCGGTCCGGTGGGCCGGAGAGGCCGCCGCCCGCCGGCCTGGCGGGAAACTCGGCCACCTGGCACGCCCTGGCCTCCTTCCGCAAGATGGGGTCCTTCAAGAAGCTGCGCTCCTCCGTGCTGCAGGGCATCCAGAGCCGGGAGGCGGCCGACGCTGGACGGGAAGGCGCGG